CCCCCCTGGGGACACCCTGGGGACCCCCCAAACCCACCTGGGACCCCCCAAACCCACCTGGGGACCCCCCAAACCCCCCCTGGTGACACCCTGGTGACACCCTGATCCCCCTGGGGACCCCCCAGCCCCCCCTGGGGACCCCAGCCCGTCACACCCACCACGTTCCTGCGCACCAGCTCCTCGTATCCGGGTTCGGGGGGGTCTGTGGGAACGGGGGGGTCACCGTGGGGGAGGGGACAGCACCCAGCCCCCCCCCCCCCCCCGGGGGACACAGGGGACCCTCGGGGACAGTGGGGGAGGGGAATTCGGGGGGAGGGGTCAGTTCGGGACCCTCACCCAGAGCTCCTTCCCCCGGCTCCTCCGGCTCCTCGGGCTGCACCTCCTGCAGCGCCCCAAAATCCTCACCTGGGGGGGGAACAGCACCCTGGGACCCCTGGGACCCCCCCAGAGACCCTTGGGACACCCTGGGACCCTCTGGGACCCCCCAAGAGACCCCTGGGACCCACTGGGACCCCTCAAGAGACCCCTGGGACCCCCTGGGACCCCTGGGACCCCCCCAGAGACCCCTGGGACCCCCTGGGACCCCCTGGGACACCCCCAGAGACCCCTGGGACCCCCTGGGACCCCTGGGACCCCCTGGGACCTCCCCAGAGACCCCTGGGACCCCCTGGGACCTCCCCAGAGACCCCTGGGACCCCCTGGGACCCCTGGGACCCCCTGGGACCCCCCCAGAGACCCCTGGGACCTCCCCAGAGACCCCTGGGACCCCCTGGGACCTCCCCAGAGACCCCTGGGACCCCCTCGGACACCCCCAGAGACCCCTGGGACCCCCTGGGACCCCCCCAGAGCCCCTGGGACCCCCTGAGTCCCCCTGTGTGTCCCCTGGGACCCCCCACCCTCCAGGGTGCCCCCCCAGACCCCCAGGAGGGGAGGAAAGGCTCCCCTGGGCAGGGGGGATTTGGGGGGTTCGGGGTTCCAGCACCTTCCTCTTCCTCACTGTCGGCCCCGCGCTCCCGTTCCTGCTGCGGCTCCTGGGGGGGAACAGCCCTGAGACCCCCTGAGACCCCCTGGGATCCCCTGAGACCCCCTGGGACCCCCTGAGACCCCCTGAGACCCCCTGGGACCCCCTGAGACCCCCGGGGACCCCCGGGACCCCCTGGGACCCCCGAGACCCCTCGATGTCCCCCGATGTCACCTGACTGTCACCGATGTCCCC